GTCTTCCTCGGCAGAGGGGGGGGGGGGTTAGTTACCGACGATAGAAAAAGAGTTAAAAAGTCTCAAAAATTTGGTGAAATAAAAAAATGAGTGGCGAAAAAGCTCGTTTTAGGTGATTCGTAGTCATACCAAATACATCATAATAAATATTATACTGGCTTGGCTGAGAACGGATTGCAAGAAAACAATAACCAGTGCGATTATGGGCCACCTCGCTGATACCGGACATCAGCCAGACAACGATGCTTCCAAAATCATCTACAAAGTACCCCAAAACAAATCAAAGCAAGCTCGGATACGTCACTTGTCAACAGCGGAATCTGTAGCAATCAAAATCATGAACCCACCACTGTGCAAACAGAAGAAGATGGTTGCCGCACTTCAGCTGCCTTGGCCTCAATCAAACCTACGTGATGACCCGAACCATGACCTCAATCGTATCATGATGACGCAACATGACGTGACAAATGACACATGAAAAGAAAGGTCACCGAAAAATCCAGAATTGACCTCCCCCCCCCCTACTCCGCTTCACCGACTGTCTCCATTTTATCCACTGGTCCTGATTAAACTTGACAGACATTGTTGCATTTTCACACATAACCTCTATGGTCCAACCACATTTATTTCTACATGAGATATAAATACGCACACATAACTGTAAAGGCCTGGAGACGAAGTTACGAAAACAAGCTTGTTCGCCATACTGTTTTGCTTTTGATATTCATATGGGAATCTTCCGTGAAATCAGTATTCAAACATAAAATCGCAAACAGATCGTTTGGGAAAGGGAAAATAACCTCATGGGTTATCCCCGGGGCTAAGTTCATCTTGGGACCTGATGTGGAATTCTCAATGATCACATAATCGTTAGGTCATCCGATCGTTGGGACCAGTCGGAATATGGGGTGCGGGGAGGGGGTGGGTGGGAGAGGGTGGGCTAGGGGAGCTTAAGCGCCGGCACAAATTGTTTTTGGACACACAGAGGGGGGTTGTGCAACCGAATTCCTACCGCTTCCGCCGTGATTTGTTTCAACTAGGTCTAAAACCACTGCACCAGTGAGTGACATAATCGTTCCTGTGTTTATCCATACGGGATAGTGTTCACAGATTCATTAGGACAAACACCTGACCGTGCGGCCTATGCACGTTGTACCATAGGAACATGTAAATGAGTACACACAAAATGAGCCGGCAGAATCCAGCATTTTGTCCTTTAGTCGTAAACACACAATTGGCTGAGAGATGAACAAAACATTGAGCTTTGCTGCATAGATGGTATTACTAACAGCATCGGATAGTCTCCTTTGTATTACTTCTGCTGATGTATCCCACTTTGAACGGCAAGGCAATGTAAACTGACTTCTTTCTGACCTCGGTCTTCTTCACACTATCTTTACTGCACTGAACCAATGTGCTAACCAATCGTTCTGGATAGCCATTATGTGTGAAGATGGTACGTAAGAATCGGAGCTCCTCTTTTATTGTGTCCCTACTATAAATTTTCCTTGTTGTACCTGCTAGGTAGCGCACCAAATTCCTCTTCACTTTTAGTGGTATAAAGCTGTGAAAATGAATATATTGACCCTTGCAAGTCGCCTTTCTATGCGCTGATCGTTGCAGCGAGCCATCCGACAGACGTCTAGAAATGCCAATTTATTGTTGTTTTCCATTTCTAAAGTAAATCTTATATTCTGGTGAGCAGCACTGAACTTGCTCAATAGCTCAATTGTTACTGATGTTATGTTGATCACATACAGAATATCATCCACAAATCGTGTGTGTAATACACAATCTTGAATGAAAGATTTGAGTTGGCTATTTTCGAGTTTCGCCACGAACACATCGGTAAACAACGGTCCTAGAGGTGATTCCATAGCCCCACCATCCTTTTGTCGATAAATCTGCTCGTTGAACTCCAATTGGACGTTGTATGTGCAAAAAATAAAGCAGTGGTTTCAGGTCTTCCTAAGGAAGGCCTATCTCAACATTGTTACTTTGTACATAACTACACAGGTTTTCGACGGTTTCGCTGAATGGAAAGTTGGTGAAAACCGAGCTAACGTCCAGTGAAAGCATTGCCCGATTCATCAAGTGTAAGTCAAGAATGCTGTTCACAAAAGTGAATTTGATGCTCTACCTAGCAGGTACAACAAGGAAAATTTGTAGTGAGGACACAGTAGAAGAGGAGCTCCGGTTCCTACGTACTATCTTTACACACAATGGCTATGAAGAACGATTGGTTGGCAAGATGATTCAGTGCAATGGAGATATTGTGAAGAAGACCGAGGTCAGAAAGAAGTCTGGCCGTTCAAAGTGGGATACATCTGCAGAAGTTCGGTTCGGTGCGTGCTAGTGTTTCGATTGCCTAATTGTGCATTTCACATTCCGTTTCAAGGTCTGCCACGAAAAACACACATGTGCAAATCATGTCAACGTTCAGTACCCATCAGCGGCACAGAATTGAATTCCGAGCAAACTGTTGTTTCTTGTCAAATGTGACGGTGTTCTCCTTGTGTGGAACGCGTCAGCACCGGTAAAATGACACCAACCCATAATCGTCTACACTCTTCGGGCCTATTCGAAATTCTCTCTCTCCCCCGCTGTCTCGTGTCACGCCGTCTTCCAGATGCACTGGTTTGTCCACAATTTGTCCCACAACATTACCGATATTTTTCGGGGCACAATCCGTTCGTACGAAATATCCCGATTGTTTCAAATATTTTATTGTACATTGGTTGATTTTGTAGGAATGAAAATTTGGTCCGTTTGAGAAGTCGATTCAAAATCCAATTCACTTGTCCGACCACTGCATGCGCCAGACTGATTGTGTGAACAAAATTTTCGATGAACTTGAATTGATAGATAGTTTACTGTGATCAGACACTAGTTGCATCGAGTGACCGAAGTTGGTGACGAATTCTGAACGAAATCTGGTCAGTTCTGTTAAATCAGATGTTAATGCACACCTTTCATAGGATGTGTTTGGGATTTGAGCTCTTTATGGATTGGTGAATGTGGTCTGCTGATACCCAGAAAAAATCTCTAGTCTATAGTGGTACCGGAGCTTTGTCCTGTGGTTGAATAACGCGCAATTATATTTTAAACGACGTGTAATTTAAGAGAAAATAAAGTGAAAAAAGAAACGAGTATACACGGAGTTTCGGGTAACCTTGATCGAAATTAACAAGCGAGTTGCACGAATTTAATCAGTAATTTCCCCTAGGTGTGTATTAAACGGAACACGATGTGTACTGAAATCACAGCAGTGCGGAAGAGTTCAGGGTCACCAGTCACAATAATGCGGTATCGAATGGAAGGCATTGGTGAACGGAGAAATTGGTTCCGTCTCACGATTGAAAGAGAACAAAGTGGGACGATAGATGAAAACGGGCTGACTCGTTGTGCGGTGAGCAGACAACTAACGTTCACGGACTATGTGGACCAAACTGCTCGGAACAACACCTGAACGGGCCGATTAGGCATGCGTACCAGGTTAGGATGAAGGTGTAAGAACACCGTATGTTATATCTGACATATGTGATTTCCCAAATAATCTGAAACTCCCGCTATGTTAGTGCTTCCCCAGTGCACAACCCACCGAATACCCACTGAAGAAGAAGATGCGTAAAAATGAAATTCGAATAATGATAAGGAACAATCGTTAAGAAGCCTTAACGTTCATCACTGATTTGGGTATATACGTATATAAATAGCAATTATATCATGTAGCTAGTTTGTACGGTTGAAGGCTAGCACAGCTTTGACAAATTGCCATATGATCACTTGATACATACATGTTTATATTTATCAATGAGACAAAACTTTTCTCGGAATTACAACATCAGTTTTGTAAGATCAAATAAGGCATAGGTTTGCTTACATGATATTTGAATATTCTTATACTGGATCCGTGGGACATACTGCCCAATAGCGATCAGTCCATAGTGATTGAGGGGGGGGGCAATGGTTTTTTTTAATTTGTTTAATCGATCCACAGCACGATCGTGTCAAGGTCACTGACTGACTTTCGGTTGGGGTAAGTAGTAGCCTGATTTAACAGAACATCGTATCTAAATGTTAAAACCTATGCGAGACTAGGAATAAAACCCAATGCACGTTTAGTACATCGTGATTGAATCTCTTTAACTTCAACTCTATAACTGTTGTACCTGAACACTGCACTCAAGACAGAAGAAATAGATGAATCAGGTGTTATGATATAAAATCCTTATATGCTAATACAACAAATAATTATGAGTCGCTGAAAACCAACCGATTACACAAGAACGGTCGGGGTTCGGAGAGCAGCCCACACACAAATCCCCAAATTCAGCCTACCGGTTGACCCAATACGTTTCTGTCTCGTCGTCATTGTCATCCTCATCCTCATCAGTGACCAGTGGGATAGCTTAGAACAAACTTCAGTGATCACTGTCGAGTAATAATGCTTGACGTATCGAATATGTGGAGAGGTAGTTTCACCACTAAGTAAGGAGAACGATTGAGGTTCTCAGCAAATCCTAGAATCTGATCGAACGAGGAAGCGAATACCCGCCTATTCA